CATCGTGTTATTGCCTATAAAGACAATACTTGTCTAATTCTTCAAAATGAGAGAGAGAGAGAGAGACAAAGGAAGGATATGGAGATAACGAACAATATTCAATCTAAAAATCCACAAAATAATACAAAATAGGAGAAGAATGAGCACAGATCTCCAAAACATCAGAGGTCGGAACAGGTCCCATGGAGGAGTGAGCATCCCCAGCTGACCGGTCACACCCGCCATGTGTTCCTTGTTATGATCAGGAAATAACGGAAAAATCCGACGTCAATTCAGTGTATAATTAATGGACTAACAATTGGTATGAAAAACGTCAGTCAACATTTGACTCAATGATAAATTGTATTTGCTGACAAGTTCATTGTATCGACCATAGAACTTGGGAAATGATGACTTTAAACGGTACAGTTGATATTCGTCTTTCCTCAACATGCTTGTCAATAATTTACCTTTTTTTTAAAGAAATTTTTCATACATAGAACATGCTCTTGCATATCGAATCAACTGAGATATATGAAGGTATATTGCTGAATAAGTAAGGGAAGTTGAAGAAAGAAAAGTTAACGTCATCACATATATTATCATATATCTTGTTAGATTATCATAAACGGTTTTTTTTTTTTTCAAGTAAAATTTCCATGTAAGAAACAGATGTGTCTCAAGCTCACAAGAATATATCGTATCTACGTAGGAATGGAAATAACAATTGTTAATGGACAATACGTCGTCGATATATCTAAATGTCGAGTTGAAGGTCGCAGTAAGTAAGTGTTTTCTTCATTTCACGCATAAGATTTTACACAAATTCTGCTTCATATGAATATTAAAACATGCATTCAGCAGGTTTATTATCTAAGTAAAGAAGAATGGATGCACATGCATTAAATACACTGGTGTCGAGTACATTAAATGCTTACAGCGACGATATTTGCCGATTTCCATAAATACTTTCATATTACACGTGCAGCTTTGTTGAATGAATTAAGGGAAACAAACATAAACAAAACTTAAACGGAATTCTCTCCGATAAAATGAAATACAAACATTTACACACATTCAAATCTGTTTGAGAATGATTTGTTAATTCAATAAAACACAGGGATTGACATTAATTTACAGTTATCTATAAATCAAGACGGTGCTATTGATTTTTTTTCGTCTATTCAATAACATGAACCATTGAGAAAATAAATTTATATTGATTACGACAGAAGATATTGTATGAATTATATCCTTTCATACTGTGATGAAATCAACTCTGAAGTTGAATGAATTTTAATTCTGACGTACACTACATGATTTTACTCTTGATATCTGATCAAGGAGCAAATCAGAAACAAAGGTGTTCACCTTACTATTAGGTTTAATAAACTCTGTTTGAACACAAACGATGAATTTCTGTTGATTGATTAAGTCAGTGTTAAATTCGATTGCAACACATGCCTAACGTTATATTGTTTTTTTTGTCATTTAAAAAGAATCTAATTTGGTTCTTATTATTTTACTTAGAAAATTAAGGTGTATTTGTCCATCTACATGAACGGTTTTAACTTTAATATCAAATTATATTTTTCAATGAAATAGACACAGCATAAATGCTAATCTAATTGTTAATTTGCTGACATTTACTAAAATCCAAAGCCATCAGTCTTGAAATGTATTTGTATGCATGTGGTTGAGAGCAAAACAGATAATTGATTTTTAATCTGTCAAAGGACTGTTATAATGCCAAATAATGATTCATATCCTGTAATCTTACATTTTGGGGGAACTATCTTTTTCTAAAACACCTGTTTTCTTTGAAATTTTGCAGTATATGAAACGCACATGTTTAAAGATTTCATCACCAGATAAAAACTAAACTCAAATGTTTATATAGGAGGGGTGATCAAAAAGTTGGTTCATGGAGATTTTATTTCGTGTATGAAGAATTGATCAGTAGATATACAATAGCTAAATTGCATTGAGTGGTAGACATGCATTCATGGATCTCTTCATACCTTGAAACACCCGTGGGGATCCGGGGTAGAATAGGTCCTCAGTACCCCTTGCTTGTCGTAAAAGGCGACTAAATGGGGCGGTCCTTCGGATGAGACCGTATAAACCGAGCCCCGTGTCACAGCAGGTCTGGCACGATAAAGATCCCTCCCTGCTCAAAGGCCGTAAGTGTCGAGCATAGGCCCAAATTAGCAGCCCTTCACCTGCAATGGTGACGTCTCCATATCAGTGAAAAAATCTAGAGAGGGATGTTAAACAGTATACAATCAACCAATCATACCTTGAAAACCACGAAAATTAACCAACAGGAAAATTAGCGATTTCACAATACAATGAAAAACACCTGTCAACATTCCACATAATGATATATTGTATATAAAGAAAAGGTCAGTTATCGCCTCTATAAAAATTTGTGAATCTTTTACTTCAAACGAGACTGTTGATATCCTTGTTTCAACAATGTTTTAGCTTACCTCGTTGTAAATAATGTTCGTAATATAACTCGCATATGCATTTCAAATCAACTTGAGGAAATCTTATACAGGTAAGAAAGCTATATTGCCACTGACGTTAGGGCAGTTGTCGTAAGCAAAATTGATAATCGTTATCTTAATCATATGTATTCCATTATCCATTGCATAACTAACTGTAAATATTATTGTCTATCTTTACATCTCAGGTCAGATCTCTCTATCAGCAGAAAACTACCCTAGAATTTAAACTCTTCAGTGTTTTGTGTATAGAACAGTTTGGAAAATTTTATTGGAACACTCCGCAGATGCAAATTACGTGTTGCTTTTAAGAAAGAACATGCTAAAAATGGTTTTAGAGATGCTCTGAAAGCATGAATTTCAAAAATAAGCAAAAAAAAAATTGGTTATCCTTATGGAAAAGAAACAATTCGAAAATTTGAAGTTAAGCAACATTCCTTTGGGTCTGAGGTGTAAATGGAAATAAAATATGTTACATGATATTTAGAGTGGAAAAAAATCATTTTTTATCATAAGATAGCATTCAACAATTTTATGATTTATAAATCAGTTATATCTGACGTACAAGAAGATACGACAATCACTACTGGCAAAAGACAAGATACTTTTGTCTTTTAGAAATGTCAGCTGTGGAAAAAAAAAAAATTTCTCCGCGCTTACCCAGAATTTCTACTTGTACCATATTATTTTTCCCCCTGTGTAAAAAAAATCGCTTCGACGGACCCGTAAAACAAACTTTTAAAATGCCAGCTTCAATTATTTTTCTCTTCTCAAATTGCTGATAGGAATCTCTTAATTTTTCATAGTTCATCCTAGCTACAGATCCCGTAATGCAAAAGCGTGCAATTTTCGGCGCAATATTTTTTGCGCGCTTTTTGGGAGAATTTCTCGACTTTCTAGCATTAATTAATCAACTACCTTTCACTCCCTAATTGTAGACACATTCTGTAGCCAAATGTATATTTTATCTACCTCCCAACCATTTATAGTTGTCTCTAAAGAAACGAAAATCGCTTGAAGTTGATTTTTAGCAATCTAACAAATAATTTTAGTTAAGTGAATTTATCACCTGTAAAGATGACTATAAAGGGTAGGTAAATGGATTAAATATATAGATTAGCTAACTTATGTGTCTTGAAGTAGGGAGTGAAAGGTAGTTTTTTGACCGATGCTGGAAAGTGGAGAAATTCTCCAAAAAATGTGCAAAAAATATTGCGCTGTAAATTGCACTTTTTTGCACTACGGGATCTGTAGCGTTATCGTCAAAGACAAGTATAATAATCCATAACGCTACAGATTGGCAGCTAAGTTCATCCTAGTACTTTCTTCGAACATCTAAGCAATTTATTTATGAATTTGAAAATTTCCCTTGTATATTCATCTTCGGTACAGAGAATATACTCCACGGATACCTATAAATACCTTATAAAATGATACGGCCAATAAAATAAAAAAAAGTCAAAGTTTATTTCTTTTCATAAAATGTGTTAATTGCTTAACCGAAGTCTTATTGTTAAATGTGATTAAATGTAATAAGGATTTAAGTTGTTCATCACATACATTTACGTTACTACATTTTATGAATTCTTTTATTTGATTAAAACTATAAAAGGATTGAAGTTGTTCATAATAAACATGTTTTATATGTTACTACATTTCAGCTTTCAAGTTTATCAGACAAAATTACAACTTTTACAGTTATTTATAAGGACATTCTGTTCCTAAACACTTCAAATAAAAAAAAAATTCAGGGTTTTAAATTATTTATAAGGACATTCTGTTCGGAAACAATGCAAATAAAAGAAGTACATGGTTAACAGGAAGTGAAGAAGATAAAGACCATGAATATATAATATTCAACAGGAAATCATAGTGTGTGTAATTCTGATTAGTCGTGAACGGACCTGAGAGGTTGTCATTCGCGGAACTTGATAAGAGCCTGGCGACATTTGATTATTTCTTCACTTACTGAGATAGGGGCGAGGTGTTTGGTACCCAAACAGAAAAAACAGCCTATCGGATCATGCTAACAACTCGTGTGTAAATCATGGTTTTGATATGATTTCGGTATAGGAAAATTTCACATGCAAATGAGCTAATGGATCATGGTTCTGAGATGATCTGTTAAACTAAACAACTAGCAAGAAAACCATGATCCTGGTATGATCTGTTGTAGAGCTAACAACTCGTATCAAAACCATGATCCTGGAATGATCTGTTGTAGCTAACAACTCGTATTAAAACCATGATCCTGGTATGATCTGTTGTAGCTCACAACTCGTATTAAAACCATGATCCTGGTATGATCTGTTGTAGCTCACAACTCGTATTAAAACCATGGTCCTGGTATGATCTGTTGTAGCTTACAACTCGTATTAAAACCATGATCCTGGTATGATCTGTTGTAGCTAACAACTCGTATCAAAATCATGATCCTGGTATGATCTGTTAAATAGAACAACTCATAGGAAAATTCTACTTCTTATACAATTTTACTAAACACTTTGATATTTGCAATAAAGTTGTCTTTAATATTTGATAAATAATTTCAGTTACCAAAAATTAAGAGAAATATTATACACTTATGTCACATGAACCATGACGTCATATAAATATAATCCCAAAAAATGATCTTCCTTAATAAGATGATGATTTAAATATAAAACATTATCCAAACTATTCACTGAATTGTATAAGAACAGAATCACAGAAATCCATTCTTCTTAAAGAATAATCCGGAACTCACTGATATCACTGCTTATTTATGATTACAACATCTGTTCACTACAGAATCAGCAGAGTGGTGGATCTATTATTCAGAATCACAAACACTGAAAGGGCTCTCAATGAAGTAGTCTATCCTCTGATATACGCTCTTTATATGTGTACATAAGCACCTTAAAAAGAAACGTAGAGAAAGTGGTATTTATTTATCAATCAACATATCATTATCTTTAGATCATGAAAATATGAAATATTCAAGTACTTTCCTCATTGCATTAGTGAAAAGAATTAGATTTATCACCAAAAGAATACTATTGTTGAAATGTAATATTATTTACGTACACAAATTTTGTCTTCACCAAAGGCGGATCTTTTGAATTTGTGAATTTGAATGCAACTCAGATGTTAATCATGAAGATGGAAATGTCTGTAGCTGCAAAAGAATTTCATTTTTATAAATAAACATTTTATATAATGATTAACATGTACATGTACAACAAATATTTGAATCAACAAGGTCAATTTGATGCTTAAATTAAGTTTTCAGCTCAAATCCATGTAAAGCTTTGCTATGTCTCTTCTACACATTTACAAAGGAAAAATGAATCATGCACTTGCTGGTAGAAATTAAAAAAGGTCAACAATAAAATTGATGAATTATACTCACCGAGAATAGAGTTAATAGTCCAGCACTTATTGTTATTGCTTATATGATGCAAAGGCTTTTCTTTTAAATCGGCAACAAGAAAACACGCACATCTTGTTTATCAGAATTCAAATTCTGACCTAGATCAGCTGCAAACCACTGTACTACAGCGTGCTGCCCAGCAGGAGAATTGCATAACAAGGTTACTACGACTCTGAAACTGACCAGTGATCCAATCCAAATCTAATGCCTCAAAGTTAGATTGGGAGTGGATCACAAATATTACATGAAGAGAAAGAGTTTTAATAAAATTCTGGCTGCGTTATTTAAACAAAATACATGTGTGCTAATTTAAATATGAATTATTGTATTAAATTTGTTTGTCATTTCATTCAATTTCAAAAAAATATAGTCTTTGTTACTTATACCTGTACATGCTGTGTGCATTTTAATTATTAAAACTTAATTTTCCTGTTTTCTTTTAAATAAGACTTTTATTGATGTATGTATGTTGTTTGATTCTCCAAGCTAAAGTGAATTTAAAGCTTGCATTTTCACCTATCATAGATGACAAAGTTAACAAACCATATCAGGATCATACAACCAATTCTGACAAAGTTAACAGATCATGTAAAACTCATGATTCTCAACAGAGAAGTTAACAGATCATGTGTAACTCGTATGGAGTTTAAAGACTAAGTTAAGAAACCATATCAAAATCACAAACTTTAAGCAGTTAAAGTTAACGAATCATTTCAAACTCATGTTCCTTTTTTTCTAAGTTAATGGCACATGTCAGAATCGCAAGAAAATCATACCAGACTCATTCCCCAGAAACAAACCACATCAGGATCATACTTCCTTATTTGTCATCTATGATTTCAGTATGATCCATTTAATGGATACTGTCTAAATCATAGTTCAAAATCATGAATTTGTGAGTTTGATATGGTTTGTATGTGATTTTGGCATGATTTGTTAAGAAAAGTTTTTGTTTGGGTAGCTTTTTGATTATGCTTGGAAAAGAGAGGGGGGATGGGAAGGGGGATGACGGTGGTTGGGATGGGGTATTTTATTCGTGTATTTTCCTAGACCATGGGGTGTTGGTATTGGATTGTACTCTGTATAGTGTGATCGCCGAAATATTGACGACTCGTTAAACAACGATAATTAATCAATGAATCTTAACAACTTCAAATTATTTATTTAAATTATCTTGAAGGTTAATGAAGACGCCGTTAGACGAAATCTAAGAGTTATCTTAAAAGTTTGTTTTTCAAAAGGTTTCGCCTCAAAATATTTTCTTTTTCTAAAATAAGGCCCTTGCTATTTTATATGTTACTACATTTCATCTTTCAAGTTTATCCGACAAAATTACAACTTTTTGTTATTTATAAGGACATTCTGTTCGTAAACACTTCAAACAAAAGAAGTATAGGGTTTACAGAAAATTCAGAAAAGGACAAAGACCTGTGAGTATATACAGTGTAATATTTAACAGGAAATCATAGCGCGCTGAATTCTGATTAGTCGTGAACAGAACTGTGAGGTTGTCATTCCCGGAACTTCTTTAAAGCCTGGCGACATTTGATTATTTCTTCACTTATTGAGATAGGGGCGAGGAGTTTGGTAGCTTTTTGATAATGCTCGGAAAAGAGGGGGAACGAAGGGAAGGGGGAGGACGGTGGTGGGGATGGGAATATTTAATTATAAATCACCTAATATTTCAAATGAGTTTTAGCCTTTTGATTTGACTCATAATGACTCTTAATGATTTTTCTCCAATATATTCCCGTGTCAACATTGTATCCTTTTTGGTTCCATGCTCCCATTTTGGGGTCATATTTCGAACAAAATTGAATATGCTTTACCTGAGCATGCTTGTATGTAAACATGACTATTCATGGCTGTTCTTTAGAAGAATATTTTACAATTTAAATGGACAGTTGAACTTTGAGATATGCGTCTTTCTAAATTTACCGTATCTGTTTGCATACATATTTAATGGAATCCTAAGCAAACTTAATGCATAGTTAATGTTGGGCAGAAGCGGAAACTAATCACTCTAATCATCAATACCTTTTTTAATTTTCCTAAAATTTGTCTATTTTTACCTGATAAACTATCATATGTCGCTCCACTTGCCATCCAGCATCTACAGCAACACCTAGTCTATTGTCATTAATCTCTCTGAAAAATAGTTAAATAACAGACATCAGTTATTAACCTGTGAATCTGTCTCATTTAGAACAACCCCTAATGTGCATAACATTCTGCATATTTATCAACAAAAATTATACTGTACATGACTAAACCTTATATTTATCAGTATATATATTAACTTGATCACTATCAATTGTCTATTATTAGGTATTTCCTATGATTTTCCTTAAGGGATCAAAACTAAAACACGAGGCCCCTTGGGCTAGGGCCACAATACTCTACGAAGTCACTGTCTCTGCCCAATCTAATTAAAATTAGAAGTTAGATCCAGTCGCATACACGCTACACAAACATCTAACAACATCCTATAGAGGGTCACGTCAGAGGTCAAATTCTATCAACCAACCAAATCGTCTCTTGCAAAATCATCGTTTATATGTTGACGTAATTGAAGAAAATAAGTCTAGGGTTATTCCAAATTTGACCTCTGCCGTGACCCTCTATGGGATGTTGTTAGATGTTAGAGCAGATCTAACATCTAAATTTGACCTCTGACGTGACCCTCTATGGGATGTTGTTAGATGTTAGAGCAGATCTAACATCTAAATTTGACCTCTGACGTGACCCTCTATGGGATGTTGTTAGATGTAAGAGCAGATCTAACATCTAAATTTGACCTCTGACGTGACCCTCTATGGGTTGTTGTTAGATGTTAGAGCAGATCTAACATCTAAATTTGACCTCTGACGTGACCCTCCATGGGATGTTGTTAGATGTTAGAGCAGATCTAACATCTAAATTTGACCTCTGACGTGACCCTCTTTGGGATGTTGTTAGATGTTAGAGCAGATCTAACATCTAAATTTGACCTCTGACGTGACCCTCTATGAGATGTTGTTAGAAGATAGAGCAGATCTAACATCTAAATTTGATTAGATTGTGTCTCTGTCACTCTTCATTTTTTTTTTTCAAATTTTCATTTTAGGAATGAATTTATTAGCTACCCAAGTTATACTGTATATCCAGGGCTGTGTAAGTTTTGGCTTTATATACTGCGAGGGATTCATAGAAAAGCGGGTCACACTATTATAACTTGGATAACTATGAAGTCAATTCCTTATAATTTAATTCTCCATCAATAAGTGAAGAAAATAAGACAATTTTTCCTTCAAAAATGCATACAATTAGTACATATATGTCTGTTATATGTAAAATTAAATGGATTATTTTTGTGACGAACATGTTAGTCATTGTGACTTAATCAACACAGGTTATACCATATAACCACTAAAAATGTGTGCTGGACACCCATTGATTTGATCAGAAAAGCTATATTGCGCCTTTGGCTCAGTTTAGCAAAAAAGTTCGATTTAAACTAAATTTATAGTTTACACACTCATTCATCATGTCCAATTCTTTCTGCAAAGCATTAGATATAGATTTTGCAGCAGTATCTTCGACAGCTCCGCTGATCTCTTTATGTCTTTTGTCCAGCATGGCATGGCTTACAGGTAGTGTATTCAACTCAGAAAGGAGACTGTTGACTTGCCTTGCACCAACGCCAACAGGTACAATTGCTGTAAATACAAATTCATAAATGTTAAAAAAAAATCAGTCTAATTACTTTAAACAAAAAGCTTGTGAAATTCAACACTCATCCTCGTCTTAATTTTTTTTTTCTTTATTACAAGAAAATAAAAAAAGAACCCATACTTTAACGAACTAAATCCCTAGGGGTAATGGCAACAAAATTTAATTTGATCTACATTAGGATGATTCAATATTAATATGGTTAATACAGTAAATAGGCTTTGCTGTTCTACAGAGAAGAATTTTTCTTCCATCTGAAAAGTCTGGGGTTTAGAGAACAAATAAAAAAAAGTCTAATGCTAACTTGTTATACCCTCTCTCTGATGTGAATATTGGTTCTTATGTAAATATACAGGCAGAAACATGGATAAATAGGAAGTAGAGATTGAATTTCCATAAAAGTGAATTTCACCATATGGCATATTGCCAAAAACAAGGAGTGACTGTGTGGTAAAAAGCACAAGAGTACAACAATAAACCAGTACCCATTTCCCTCTCTGGAGCATATTTTGAAAAGTCGACCGTTTGATAAATGGAAAAAGTTAGATTGATTGATTGTATACTGTTTAACTATTTAACGTCCCTCTTCAGAATATTTCACTGATATGGAGACGTCACCATTGCCAGTGAAGGGCTGCAAATTTAGGTCTATGCTCGACACTTACGGCCTTTGAGCAGGGAGGGATCTTCATCGTGCCACATCTGCTGTGACACGGAACCTCGGTTGATACGGTCTCATCCGAAGGACCGCCCTATTTAGTCGCTATTTACGACAAGCATGGGAGTACTGAGGACCTATTATAACCCGTATCCCCACGGGGGGAAAAGTTAGATCAGAAATGATCTGAAATGAGCCTCTGGCTTCAATAAGTTAGAAATAGCTTCTTAAGAAGTTTTTTTTTTTTTATTCTGGATTAAACATTATATATATTTATATATACATACACCTATATACTGGCTCTGAGGACAATAGCAAGTTTATTGTTTCTTGGTACCCACGGTACACATTATGACGTCAAGTTCAGAAATAAATCTACATGTAAACCAGTTTCTTTGAAACTGAGCTTTGAACCTGAGCTAATGGCAAAGTGTGACGGAAGGACAGACGGAGAAGAGATGAACCTGATAAACGCTACTAAGTATACTATGCCCTGGCCATATTCATGGCGGGACATAACAAACCTTTCAAAATATGCACAGCCTGACCTGAGGTAATTTAGAATAAATACATGTGTATATATACACTGGAAACAGATAAAACATAATACTTAGTACTCACTACTTGTACAGTACATATAAACTGACTATATATCAAGCTATAAATTGTTATTACTGTCAATAACAGACTATAGAAATGGCAATTCGCATAATTTCAAGTTCTTGATCTGAAAAAAAAAAACGACGCAGGTAGGTTAAGGTTACAACCAAATATTCTACTTGCCTTTATGACATGACGTCATAGTAAGTTATATGACGTGAGGTTTAGAGATAACAATTTCCTAGAATTGATATCTAAGATTGATTTGAGGTCGAAAAATGAATCAAAATATGCAAAGGCATAATATAAACAGAAATTTATTGTTTCTTGGCCTCTGTAGTAACATGTATCACAGAGGTTAAAAACCGAATCCGTGACGTCATAACTATTGATCATGCAGTAGCAGAGTGAAAGTGAAACTTAACGAGAATTCATGTAAACAAACACCAGAAATAGGAGTTTAAAAGCATTTAGAAGGAATATCATGTGTGATTCATGTGGGAATAAAGCTTATGAATGAGGTATGGTAATATAATTCTACAATTTCTTCGTAAAATTAAAGCAGGGAGGGTGTTTACTTGCCGATCAGCCTTTCCTCTGTCGTTTGTAACATAAAAGATGCAAGATTTCAACACTACGCTGCATACCTTGTAACTTAATTTTTGTTTCCATCTAAAGTTCTTATTCTAATGTTTTAGGAAAGTGCTGCTAGAATCGTATGGTTTACGGGAATTGATGCATTTTTTTCGATGTACTGATCAAAATATAAAAAAAATTGGGGTAGGTTTCGTCTCAAAGTGTTTAATAATTATTTCTGTGAGAGGACACTAGAATTTTAGCAACACTTTTTATGGTACAGAGATGTTTTAACATAACTATTATTACAAATTAAAACTTATTATCCCCGGAGTAGTGTTGAACTTTTTACTTTTTCATTAAGGTATATTTTCTACATTATAGACATCACGTGG